TCTGTCTGGCAGCTCCAGCCACTCATCCCCACATCTGTAGCGTCCATGGGGTTATTGCGACTGAAGTGCAGGACCCAGCACTTGGCCTTGTTCAAGCTCATACAGTTGGCCCATGGATTCAGCCATTTATTCATTGATTTAAAAATTAATGCTAGGCTCATTTGGCAGTTTTCAGTACTAAGAGTATTGTTTAAAAAAAAATAAAATAGCAATACATATACAGGTGAAAGTCATAACAAATTCAGGTTTTATGTTCATATCAGAATCCTGAACATTATGACCTTTTCAAAAAGAATTCTTGAGGCCTTACCTGTTGAGGAAAGGTGGTTAATGGCATTCCAGGAATTGCGGATGCTTTCAGAGCAGCCTGTTCCGCTCTTTTTGAAATCCTCGGTCACTATGCTGAAATATGTGCTACACGGGACCAAATCACCAAACTGCCAGATTGGGGCAGAGGCTGCAAGAGCTCTGCAAAGGGACATAAAAAGATTGTCTGGAAAAAAATAGATATCCTGAACCCCTGCAAAGCCACGATCTAAGTAGCATTTATACTTCAGCTTGGACACTGAGCCCTAGGCAAATGAACCATAACACTGCAAAATTATTTCACAGGACTGCATGCAAAGGCTGTTGAAGGTTCCAAGTCCTGGACTTTAGCACAAAGGTAGTTCAAGATGCACCAGGGGAGGCGATAGATTGGATGTGAGGAACAATTTCTTGACTGCAAGAGTGGTCAAGCACTGGAAGGGGCTGCCCAGGGAGGTAGTGGAGTCCCCATCCCTGAAGGGGTTCAAGAAGCACCTGGATGTGGCACTTGGGGCCATGGTTTAGTGGGCATGGTGGGGTTGGGTTGATGGTTGGACTTGATGATCTTAGAGGTCTCTTCCAACCTTCATGAATCTGTGATATCAGTAAATACATAAAGTAGAAATTCAGACGTGCTTACTTTATAATTTTTCATACTTATCTGTGGAGAGACCTTATTGCAGCCTTCCAGTTCCTGAAGGTGTCCTAGAGGAAAGCTGGGGAGGGACTTTTTACAAGAGCAGGTAGCAACAGAACAAGGGGGAATGGTTTTAAACTGGAATAGGGGAGATTTAGACTGGATATTAGGAAGAAATTCCTCCCTGTGAGGGTGGTGAGGCCCTGGCCCAGGTTGCCCAGAGAAGCTGTGTGTGCCCCCTCCCTGACAGTGCCCAAGGCCAGGTTTGCCAGGGCTCGGAGCAGCCTGGGCTGGTGGAGGTGTCCCTGCCCATGTGTAGGTTAGGCTGGGAGGCTCTGAGGTCCTCTCCAACTTAAACCATGCTGCGATTCTATGATCTAGCAACTAGGTCTTTCTCAAAAGAGATTGTACAAACTCAACTGAAGAGAGCCCCTGCCCACAAAAATCTACTTTCTAGAAGGTGTGGTAGACACACGTAAGGGATGGGATGCCATCCAGAGGGACCTAGACAAGCTCAAAAAGTGGGCAGATACGAACCTCTGGTATCAATACAGGCTGAAGGATGAAGGGGTTGAGAGCAGCCCTGTAGAGAAGGACTTAGGGGTACTGGTGGATGAAAAGCCAGACATGAGCCAGCACTGTGCACTCACAGCCCAGAAAGCAAACCACATCCTGGGCTGCATCAAAAAAACATGGCCAGCAGGGCAAGGGAGTGAGTCTGCCCCTCTACTCCACTCTGGTGAGACCTCACCTGCAGTCCTGCATCCAGCCCTGGGGTCCTCAGCACAGGAAGGACCTGGACCTGTTGGAGCAGATCCAGGGGTGGCCACAAAAATGATCAGAGGTTAGAGCAGCTCTGCTATGGGGACAGGCTGAGAGAGTTGGGGTTGTTCAGCCTGGAGAAGAGAAGGCTGCAGGGGGACCTTATTGCAGCCTTTCCGTACTTCAAGGGGGCTTATAAGAAAGATGGGGACAGACTTTTTAGTAGGGCCTGTAGCAATAGGACAAGGAGTAATGGTTTTAAACTAGAAAAGGGGAGATTTAGGTTGGATATGAGGAAAAAGCTCTTCGCCATGAAGGTGGTAGATCAGTGGCACAGGTTGTCCAGAGAGGTGGTGGAGGCCCCATCCCTGGAGATATTCAAGGTCAGGCTTGATGGGGCTGTGAGCAACCTGATCTGGTACCAATGTCCCTGCTGACTGCAGGGGTTGGACTGGATGAGCTTTAAAGGTCCCTTCCAACTCAATATGTTCTGTGATTCTACTTATTAATCACAGAATCACTAAGGTTGGAAGAGACTTCTAAGATCATCAAGAAAAATTGAATTATGGTCCTTCTCGCAGTGCTGTAGGCACAGAAGTAACAAATGCCTGCTCCATTCCCGAGCAGGATGAGTGCACTCACCCAACTACCACATGGGGGTACTTCATCCTAAACCAGGCTGCAAGCATTCCTCCATAAGATCCTCCTATAGCTATGACAGGACTGTCTTGGGCTCCTGCAATGGTCGTCTTTAAGTGCTCAATCAGTACCGCAAAGTCGGCCAGAGCTTGTTCTGATGTCAGGTAATTCAGATGCTTGGAATCCTGAGACAGAGAAATCAGGTTACAGAATCACAGCATTGTTAAGGTTGGAAGAGACCTCCAAGATCATCAAGTCCAACCGTCAACGCAACCCCACCGTGCCCACTAAACCATGGCCCCAAGTGCCACATCCATGCAGTTCTTGAATCCCTCTCCACCCCCCCACTGGCCAGCCCCTTCTAGTGGCTGACAACCCTTACACTAAAGAAATTCCTCCTCATCCAACCTAAACCTTCCCTGGTGCAATCTGAGGCCATTTCCTCTTGTCCTATCACTTGGTCCTGGGGAGTAGAGACCAACACCCACCTCTCCACACCTTCCTTTCAGGGAGTTGTAAAGGAATGGGAAAGACCGTGACTACTGGGAGGGAGTGAGTCTACAGCGTGGCTCAGAGTCAAGATGGAGAATGGTGTTGCTTTGATCAATGTGGTTACCAATACTGGAAACAGAAAATTTAAATTCCTGTACTTTTCTCCCTTGGCATTGTGAGGCAGATTCACTAGAGCATTGGGATTTTGGGGTTTCTATTGTGGGAGCGGACTGATGGATCACATCACAAGGGGAAAACAGTAAATTCTGTATCTAAAAAGAAAACCCTTACACTAAAGAAATTCCTCCTCATCCAACCTAAACCTCCCTTGGTGCAACTTGAGGCCATTTCCTCTTGTCCTGTCATTGGTTACATAGGAGAAGAGACCAACACCCACCTTTACTACCCCTCCTTTCAGGAGCTGCAGAGAGGATAAGGTCTCCCCTCACCTCCTCTTCTCCACTTGAACCCCTCCAGCTACCTCAGCCACTTCCCATCATTTGTTTGCTCCAGACCCCTCCCCAGCTCCCTTGACCTTCTCTGGCCATACTCCAGTCCCTCAAGGTCCTTCTGGGAGTCAGGGGCCCAAAACTGAACACAGGATTCAAGGAGCAGCCTCACCGATGCCCAGCACAGGGGAAGGATCCCTGCCCTGCTCCTGCTGCCCACACCAGTGCTAATACAAGCCAGGATAGCATCATAGTCAGTCTAACAGTCATTGTAATGGCAAGAATTACAATAGGTAGAATTATGCTTGTATAAAACACATTTAAGGAAGACAAAACAAGACACTTACACTGAAAGACTCATTCCCAAAGGGTAAAGATTCTCCATAATACCGATGTTCAGCAAACACCAACATGGCATTAAGTTCTTCGGCCACATCCCACATAAAACCCTGGTTGGAGGAAAGCAGACATGTAAATATTTTGGATCAACTCTTTTCAAAGTTTCTGCTCTCAAGGTCTAGTGAATTCCAATTCTTATTCTTTGATTGGAAAGATACCACTATCAAAATACAACTATAAAGACAGTGCAATTTGGGTTTAAAGTGTCACTGAAGTAAGAAAGCACCCAAAACCAATATTCATCCAGAAAAAAGTGACACACACAAAGAAAATATGTTTCTTTTAATGCTGCAAAATAATAAGCAGCATTGTTTTGTGAGTATACACAGGTAATCCTCCTATAACTCCTTTGGTGTAAGTTTAATCCGTAGGAAATAAATAACATGACAGGAGAAATCCACGCATTTGAGTTAAGGACAACAACACAGAAAACACAGAATTTGTTTGGTAATAAGCATTACAATACACTTGTTTTCAAATAATAACTAACTCCAATTTGTTTTTACTTGTTGACACTTGCTGACAAGGTTTGTGAGCAATCCAACCACCTCCTGTTGTGTTACTGGACTTTGTATTTTACCTGGGGAATCTAAAGTACTGGGATAGGTGTAATTTGGTTCAAAATTTGGCATTCTTAGCTTAAGACACACCTTGATCAAACACAGAACGAGCCTTGTTAAGAGCCAATCAATGCACAGTAATTGACTTAAGTCCCACCTTACCAAGAGTACAAATCTGGCATTTAGAATCCCACATTCTGCAGTAGAGGAAGACAAAACACCAACTTTTGGATGGGTCAATGGGCCTGGACATCTCTCCCTCACTAAGCATGGACGTCCTCTGGGTGAGAACCGTGATAATTAACTATAGCACTAAGTATCAATCTATGCTTATTGTAGTGCTTGCTTATTGTGGTATATGCATGACTAATGGTAGTTAATGTTATAGAGATCTACATTTAAATTTTGGGATGTCATTTATATTTGTGTAAGGCAGTGCATTTAGCACTGGCAATTCCGTATCTATTCTATCTGTCGCCTTAATAAATCATTTCTCTTTTCCAGCTTTGCAAATTTGCTTCAGTGAAAGTCCCTGAGAAGGCTCTTAAGAGGCCTACTGGACATCAACCATTGACCAAGTCTAGGACTAAGACTGGATCCACCCACAAGGAGGTCCTTTCTGAACCTTGTGATTCAATGGGAGGGTCTCCCTTATGCTCCATATCCCTACTGGACATCCACTGCTGACCAAGTCTGAGACTAAGACTGGACCCAGCCACACCTTGACTCCTCTCTGAGGAGTTTAGACCAAGGGGGTCCTTTCTGAACCTTATGACTCAACGTGAGGGTCTCCCTTATTTCCCATATCCCTATGGGACATCAACCGTAGACCAAGTGTAGGACTAAGACTGGATCCAGCTGCAAGGAGTCCTTTCTGAACCTCAGGACTCAATGGGAGGGCCTCAACCAACCCACCACATATCAGGCTCATACCCTTCACACAACAGGCCCTAGTGGGAAGAGTGACTCTAATTTCAGAATCAAGACTCTATTTTCCACCTACTGTATTGTTGCAGAACCACGTGATGTCTCCTTCATTGCCCGTATAAAATAGTATTGGGCCATTGGCTTTCTTCCAGTGCTGATCTGCCACTAAATACCGCTGCTGGAACGTCAGATTTTCATCAAATCCAAAGTGATCAATCTGTAAGAACAAGAGATAACAACATGTTCAGAAAAATTAAGAAAAGCAAGAAAGTTTTATTAAGATTAAAAAAATTACATTGAATTAATTTATATTCTTAGATTCCTAATACATCAAAATTCTTCTGCTTTATGAAGAAAACCAGCCAAAATTACAGGTGCATGCACTGAAGGAGAAGTGGTATTTTCAGCCATAAAAAAAAAATCCATGCCCTTTTTATAGTATCACACTTCACATGATATATTCTAAATATATTTAGGAAGTCTGACAAATCACAAAGTAGCTGATGTAATCTAACTGTATCAACAAGTAAAAAAAAGGAGTCATTGTCTTGCAGTGTTCTGAGTGTTAGGAAAATTCCTTACCAGTCTTATAATTTAATTTTTAAAAGCCCTAAAACCAAAACCACAAGCAAAACAGCACCCAAAAACATAAAATCAAATCAATTATAATAAAATAAAATAAAAAATGAAATTACATGAAATGACATGAAATGACATGAAAACAAACCGCCTCTTCCTTCTCTCTCTCTTTTGGCATAAGATTGAAATTTAAACAGATTCCTGTTACAAAGTGGTTGGGTTTTTTTTTTAATTCTTAGAAAATACTAATTCTCAGTACTACTTCTGCTACTGACAGATTTTTCAGACAGTTTTATGCAGTGCTTCTCCTTCTCTCCTTGCAATTTTCACTAATTAACCTACCTTCCCCATTTTTTTCCATTGCCCTATAAATATTGCAAACCTACACATACCACTTAACCCAAAACCCACAATGATAGCTTTATTCTTTCATTAGAAATTTAATTTCAGATCCGAAGGGCAGTTTTTCAGCTTTTATTCCCACTGCTTTTTATGCACTATCTCCCTCGACCCTTCCTAAAGCACTTAAAAATTCAAGTTTATTAATGGCTTTTACAAGGCAACTCCCTGCACGGGCAAAATCTTATTCTGGAATACAGACACAGGCTTTTACTATATATGACAAAAAAGACATTTTAGTTGAAAATCAGTTGAAGATGATGTATGGTTTTGCAATTTTGGCTTTGTCAGCACAAAGCATCTTCTCCTTTCGTATTGTTTCTGGCTGGCAGTGGCAGCCTGACATCTGCTGGCTCGAACACCTCTGCTCACCCATCTGCCTTTACACCAAAACTCTGCCAGACCCCTCGGGTGCTTCAAGAACCGCCCCTTCACATTTTCCATTTTGAGAACATTGAATCCCAGCATGGTTTGGGTGGGAAGGGACCTCAAAGTCCCCCCAGTCCAACCCCCATGGGCAGGGACACCTCCACCAGCCCAGGCTGCTCCAAGCCCCGTCCAACCTGGCCTTGGGCACTGCCAGGGAGGGGGCACCCACAGCTTCTCTGGGCAACCTGGGCCAGGGCCTCACCGCCCTCACAGGGAGGAATTTCTTCCTAATATCCAGTCTAAATCTCCCTTCTTCCAGTTTAAAACCATTCCCTCTTGTTCTATCACCACCTGCCCTTGTAAAAAGTCCATTCCCAGCCTTCCTGTAGCCCCTTCAGGTCCTGGAAGGTTGCTCTAAGGTCCCCGCACATCCTTCTCTTCTCCAGGCTGAACAATGTCAACTCTCTCAGCCGGTCCTCGCAGGGGAGTTGCTCCAGCCCCTGACCATCTCTGTGGCCTCCTCTGGACCAGCTCCAACAGCTCCATGGCCTTCTTATATTGGAAGCCCCAGAACTGGACACAGCACTGCAGGTGAGGTCTCAGGAGAGCAGAGCAGAGGGGCAGAATCACTCTCTTGCCCTGTTGGCCACACTTCTTGTGATGCAGCCCAGGATGTGGTTGGTTTCTGGGCTGTGAGTGCACATTGCTGGCTCACATTGAGTTTTTCATCAACTTACAGTACCAAGTCCTTCTCCTCAGTACTGCTCTGGAGCCATTCTCTGCCCAGTCTGTGCTTGGGATTGCCCCTACCCAGGTGCAGGACCTTGCCCTTGGCCTTGTTGAACTTCCTGTAGTTGGCATATACCACCTGTTGCAAAGTGTCTTTTCCAAACTCTTTCAAAGCTTACTGGCTCTTGGACTGACATGAGAGCACAGTTGTGCTGCAGCTCTCTGCCAGCAGAAGAACAGGAATGGTTGAAGGTCTGGACAGACATAGAAGACAAGGTCTCCGCTTGGAATAAGGTCACTGCAGTTACTGCTTCCAGACCTAAATAAAAGTAGCTTATGTATGCTCTACAGTTTTGCTCACTGGGACTATTTAGTGCTTTCTTACAAGCACATGGAGATCCTTCCCTTGCACTGGGCACTGGTGATGCCACACCTCAAATCCTGGGGTCAGTTTTGGGCCCCTCACTCCCAGAAGGACATTGAGGGGCTGGAGCGTGGCCAGAGAAGGGCAATGGAGCTGGGGGGGCTCAATTGGAGAAGACTGAGGGAAGACCTTATCCCCTCTGCAGCTCCTGAAAGGAGGGGGTAGAGAGATGGGTGTTGGTGTCTTCTACCATATAACGAGTTATAGGAGAAGGGGAAATGGCCTCATGTCTCTTTGTAAGGGGGAGATGTATCTTTTCCTATTTAACCTTTCTGCTTAGGCTGCTTGCCAGAGATGGGACAAAACAGGCTCATGTGTCCTGCCTGCCTTTTATGGAATCACCTAAAATTAAATATTTAGCTTTAAAACTTGATTCTGCATCCTTCCTGCCTGAAACCAGAGCATCAACTCTAAGACTACACTACAAAGCATTCAAATTTCCTGAACTACAAAGCGACGTATCAAAATCTTCTCAGTGCAGCTTAATATACAACAGACAAAAAACACACAGGGGAGGAACAGGAGGAAAACATACATCAGAACAGTTAAACAGATAAGCACCCTTTTGTCACCAGGCAGAGGATATTCAATGAGGTATTGCACAGAAGAGATTCTAAAGCCCATCTTACTGTCTGTTCAACAGAGACTGAAAAATTAGGATAGGAATATTCAAAGATGAATGTGTTTTTTCCTGAATTATGGCTAATTTTCTTTTTAGATACAGAATTTACTATTTTCCCCTTGTGATGTGATCCATCAGTCCACTCCCACAATAGAAACCCCAAAATCCCAATGCTCTAGTGAATCTGCCTCACAATGCCAAGGGAGAAAAGTACAGGAATTTAAATTTTCTGTTTCCAGTATTGGTAACCACATTGATCAAAGCAACACCATTCTCCATCTTGACTCTGAGCCACGCTGTAGACTCACTCCCTCCCAGTAGTCACGGTCTTTCCCATTCCTTTACAACTCCCTGAAAGGAAGGTGTGGAGAGGTGGGTGTTGGTCTCTACTCCCCAGGACCAAGTGATAGGACAAGAGGAAATGGCCTCAGATTGCACCAGGGAAGGTTTAGGTTGGATGAGGAGGAATTTCTTTAGTGTAAGTGTTGTCAGCCACTAGAAGGGGCTGCCCAGGGAGGTGCTGGAGTCCCCATCCCTGGAGGGGTTCAAGAACTGCATGGATGTGGCACTTGGGGCCATGGTTTAGTGGGCATGGTGGGGTTGCGTTGACGGTTGGACTTGATGATCTTGGAGTTCTCCTCCAACCTTCATGATGCCGTGATTCCTCTTTTAATATGTAAAATTTTGATAGCAGTAGCAGCTAAACTGCTTGTGTTCATCATATTTATAATACAGCAGACCATGCAGGATCCCATGCAAGACAACTCCAGGCTTTTCCAGGGAGCAGGAAAAAGCCCCCAAAACCCACAAGTACCTATTACTCAATGGAAGAGCAGGAACTCCTTTATTGCTAGATGATGGGGCTTCATACCTTGTAGTAACTTGTTTTTGCAAGACACATAAGACTAAAAAAAAAGAACTCTTGATGTTCATAGAGCAGACAGAAGAGGGAGATGTCACAACTGCTGGTCATTGCCAAGAAATTCAAAGAACTTCTGAATCCAGAACATTAAAATGTAATTTTGAGGTGTCCCAAAACATATCTCTTCACAAGAGTAAAAACTGCTTGAAAACGTACTACATCAGAGAGAAGAAGCCCAAGAATCAATATGAAATTGTGAATTGAGAGAGGTTGGGACGCAAAGGGAATGGGATGTAGTTGAGGAGCAGCAGATGGAGCTGTGGTGTAGCTGGTGCTCATTCAACAAGGGCTTGCTTTCAGCACCCCGTACAGAATAAATAATCCGCCAAACAAGCAATAAACCTCTCAAACTATATGAAATATACTTTACAACTTGAATCTCCCAAACTTTTTTGAGCTTTTTTTAAAGTCAGATTTCATTAAGAAGTTGAACCAGAAAATTTCTTTTCCACACTTATGCAAGAGGAGTAAGAAAAAAAGCAATGACTTTTGCAACCAGGCTTAATTACAACAGACTACAACAGCAAAAGAAAACTAAGCCATTTAGTGCACATTTACAATACCTTAACTGTTGGTTAAAAGTATGAGCATATATGAGGTTTTTCTAATTACAATATCCATAATTACAATTATTCTCAGGATGACAGTAAGTACAAGGTCCTCAGCAACCGACTATAACTTTGAATTTGGCCCTGTTTAGAGTGGGAGGTTGGAACAGGTGCCATGCAGAGTTCCCTTCCAAAATTCAATTATTCTAGGATTAATCCAAACCAGTTACACAGCCTAAAATTTTAAGCTTCTGTAAGCAAGTCTACCTGCTTCATTAAAATAAGAACACAGTCATCATCTACAATACAACAGCAGTGTTTTACAAATGGAAGTACCCTTGACACAGAATCAGTCCTTCTGATACTAATAAAGTAGAGGACAAAAATACTACTTTTTGTAAGTTATGAGTAAGTTTAAGGGGAACTTTTGGTTGTGCCCAAGAGGCTGATGAAGGCTCAAAGCAGCTTTGACCTTTTAGCTCTGAGAAACTTCCTACAGTGAAGGACATCAGGACAAGAAGCTTTCTCTGGCCTGATCCACTGAACAAAGTAGAAGGAAATTATCTTTTTCTGCTCAAAATACACTGCACATTTCTTTGACGTTACCTTATATGTGCACAAGGTGGGTTTTTTAATGTCCTTTTTTGTTGTTTTAGGAAGTCCACCTAAAATAAAAGAAGCCACTCTGCTATACATCTCCCCTGGGGAGGAAACAAAAACTCGACACAGCAGATGTTAATTATTCTACAGATGTTATTTATTCTACAGATGTTCATCTGCCTAATCTACTCCTGGAAGCATCCAGGAACTGCGGCACTGTGTGAAGTACAAAGACAAAACGCATGGGCTAAAACCCACTTCCTTGTCAGCAGCATCTTAAGGTCATCAGTGACGGCAGAGATGGGACAGCAAACCCAGGCCTTTACCAAAAGAAGGCTGTAATTCAGAGTAGTTTATAACCAAAAGCATTTAATATCACTCAAAGTGGTAAATCTGCACCTGATGCTTTCCTGCTTTCGAATTTCTGGCACTATTGCAAGCGTCTGAATGCTTTTTCTGTCATGCCTCGAATTTCAATCCTCTTGGCAATAGCTTTATGTTCCCAAACTTGGCTATTCCATTTGAAATGAAGTCACTTCTTTTACCAGCAAGGAACCATGGGATTTTAAGGGCCATTCTCCATCCTCCGAGTTGTTTTGAGTGCTCATCCTGTCTGAATTATTTCCCGAGGACAGGAAGATACATGATATCTGAGGATATCCTCCTGTGAACAGCAGCATGGGCATGAGCCTCCTTGGGATTTCAGTGACATCTTTCTATTCCTGGTTGTACTCCTGACAGGCTGCGGGACTCCAGCCCAGTTAGTTGTACCTATTAGTTTGGTTTCCTCTTATAAATCTTTGCTTCCTCCATTTGGCTGGAGGCTGGCTCTTTGATAGGAAGGCTCTGCAGAGGGATCTGGACAGACTGGAACTATGAGCTGAGGCCAATTGCATGAGGTCCAACAAGGCCAAGGGCTGGGTCCTGCACTGAAGTCACAACAACCCCATGCAGCACTACCGGCATGGGGAGGAGTGGCTGGAGAGCACCTGGAGAAGAAGGACCTGGGGGTGTTGGTTGACAGCGACTGAACACGAATCAGCAGAGTGCCCAGGTGGCCAAGAAGGCCAATGCCATCCTGGCTTGTATCAGCAATGGAGTGGGCAGCAGGAGCAGGGCAGGGATCCTTCCCCTGTGCTGGGCACTGGTGAGGCCACCCCTCAAATCCTGTGTTCAGTTTTGGGCCCCTGACTCCCAGAAGGACATTGAGGGGCTGGAGCGTGGCCAAGATCCTTGTAACGGAGTGGTCCCTTCTGTCGTGACCACGCCCTTGTGCACCCTGGCCTTGAACCACAATCGTGTTCACGCATTTACAGACAAATGTAAGGTCTTGTATTTGGGAATGCATAATCCAAGACTGCAGCTGAGACTGGGTTCCACCTGGCCAGAGAGCAGCCTTGTGGAAAGGGACCTGGGGGTCTTGGTGGACGACAAACTCAACATGAGTGAACAGTGTGCTGCAGCTGTAAAGGAGGCCAACGGGATGCTGGGTTGCATTAAAAAAGGCATCTCAAGCAGAGACAAAGGAGTCATTATCTCTCTCTACTCGGCACTGGTCAGACCACACCTTGAGTACTGTGTCCAATCTTGGTCCACGCTATCCAAAAAAGATGCAGACAGGTTGGAAAGGGTCCAGAGAAGGGTCACGAGGATGATCAGAGGACTGGAAGAGCTGCCATATGAAGAAAGGCTGAGAAAATTTGGACCTGTTCAGCCTTGGGAAGAGAAGGCTTAGTGGGGACCTTATTACCATGTACATAAAGGGTGACTGCCAAGAAGATGGAGACTCCCTTTTCACAAGGAGTCACAAGGAAAAGACGAGGAGTAATGGACACAAGTTGCTTCTGGAGAGACTGAACTCCACAAGACAATTTTTTACCATGAGATCAATTAGACACTGGAATAATCTCCCAGGGGAAGTGGTAAAATCCCCTACATTGGTCAGTTTTCAGAGTCACCTTGACAGGGTGCTTACTCATCTCATTTAAACTCTACTTTTACCTTGAGAGGTTGGACCAGATGATCCTTGGGGTCCCTTCCAACCTGGTATGCTATGAGTTTGATTCATTTTACTGAAGCGCCTTCTACGCTGCAGAAACCATCTCGCCTGCTTTTGGCAAGTTGCAACTGCTCAAGGAAGTCCGCTTTTAGTGCTCATTTATCACTTCAGCGATTAAAAAGCACTGAGAACAAAAGCCTCCGCCACAAACTCTACCCCTGCCCTGAGTCATGCAGTTTGGACAAGATACTTGAAAGAAAAAGAATGAAGGACATTTAAGCAGCTACAGGATATGCTGTATGAAAGCACCAAGCCACTCGGGTCAGCACTTGTTAGAAACAAACAGTTCCCAAACAGTATACAATGAAAGGTTATTTTTATGTTGGAAACTTAAGCAGCTAATGAGAACACAAGCAAATTGGTTTCTACTTCCACAAACCATCAGTGCTTTTGTGCTGCAGTGAAGCTCCAAATTCTCCTTACCATGTAAAGATGAAGTCCAGAGACACATTTAGGCTTTAACTACTTTGGGTCCCTCAATCCCAGAAGGACATTGAGGGGCTGGAGCATGGTCAGGGAAGGGAAACTGAGCTGGGAAGGGGTCTGGAGCACCCAAATGATGGGGAGTGGCTGAGGGAGCTGGGGGCGTTCAACTGGAGAAGAGGAGGTGAGGGGAGACCTTATCCTCTCTGCAAGGAGTTGGTAGCGAAGTGGAGTCAGTCTCTTCTCCCATGTAACCAGTGATAGGACAAGAAGAAATGGCCTCAAGTCGCATCAGGGCAAGGCTAGATTGGATATGTTGAAAAATTTCTTGACTGCAAGAGTGGTCAAGCACTGGAAGGGGCTACCCAGGGAGGTGGTGAAGTCCCCATCCCTGGAGGTGCTCAAGAAGTGGTGGATGTGGCACTTGGGGACATGGTTTGGTGGGCATGGTGGAGTTGGGTTGATGGTTGGACTTGATGATCTTAGAGGTCTCTTCCAAACTTAATGAATCTGTGATTCTATGATTTATAACAAACTACTACAGTGATAAACACACAAAGTGTTCACATCGCTGATGCTCCCAGTTAAGGCATCATTATCCTGGTGAAATTCTTCCATTGGGCAAGGAGTAGAGAACAAACACATCAAAACTGTATTACCCAAATTGCATTAATACGGCTGAAATAAGGACGAAGAAGATGAACTACACCAGCAGAAACAAAGTCACCTCTGTGAAAGGTCTCTCAGAGCCCTAACAGGCAAAGGTCAGTAATTTTTTCCATCTGCCTTCCAGATTGAATTATAAATCCACCACACTTGGAGGATTAACTTCAGAGGAGAAGAGAAAATTGTATGCAAACCTTCAACATGCCACAGATTAAGCAAAATAAAAACATTCCAGTTGTGCTGAATGTCCCCTAAAATTCTAATTGTTTAACAAAATACTTCACTAAATAAGTTTGATCTTTCCTGATCAAAATGGTTTTCATTTGAAAGACTTCCTCAGTCTTTTTGTAAGCAAAGATATGGGGAAGGAAAGCATTTCACATTCAAAACAATATTTTGATTTGGTCAAATTAAATATTTAACACACCTCTGC